AACACATCTGTCTATGTCTTGACACTGTGTAAATATCTGCTGTAACTAACACATCTGTGTATGTCTTGACATTGTGTTGATCTCTGCTGTAACTGGCACATCTGTGTATTCTCTTGACATGCATTGTGTTGATCTCTGCTGCAACTGGCACATCTGTGTATTATCTTGACATTGTGTTGATCTCTGCCTGAACGGGCACATCTGTGTATGTCTTGACACTGTGTTGATCTCTGCTGTAACTGGCACATTTGTCTATGTCTTGACACTGTGTAAATATCTGCTGTAACTAACACATCTGTGTATGTCTTGACATTGTGTTGATCTCTGCTGTAACTGGCACATCTGTGTATTCTCTTGACATGCATTGTGTTGATCTCTGCTGCAACTGGCACATCTGTGTATGTCTTGACATTGTGTTCATCTCAGTTGTAACTTATACATTTAAAAGGTTGCATATATGTGTGTGCCTACATTCAAGTTATTTGAACTCCATCTGGAACATATACGTCTGTCTGTGTCGATACTCTGCGTACTTGAGCGCTTTCTAATTACCCATTGTCTTTAGCTATGAGCTGGTAATATGGACTTTAACTTACACATCTATCTGTGGTGATACCCTTGTTATTTGAAGAGATACATGCTAACTCATCTGTAAGAGTCGATATTCTTGTTATTTGACATATCTGACTGTCAATACTCTGGTAATGTGAACTACATCCCTGACGGCCTTGGCTCACACATCTGTCTATACTCTTTCATTTGACTGCGGACAGTGGGGTAGCCCAGTGATTAAAGCGTTTGCTCCTCAAAGGCCCGGTTGTGATTCCCTACATGGCGTCAATGTGTGTAGTCCATTCCTAGTGTTCCCCGCTGTCACATAGCTGGAATATTGCTAAATGCGGCGTAAAACCATATTCACTCACTTTATTTGAATGGGATGGTTTTAATTTTGTATCTTGCATATCCTTATCTGCCGATACCCAAAGACACAATTAGACATGTACTTGGCGCAAACACCTTTTAAGTTTATAAATACAATTTCAAACTAAATGTATTAGGCAAGTGGGTGAGTTGGATTTAACGCCGATTTGAACACTTCAATGAGATATTTCGGCGTTTCAGCTTCGTGTGGCAGGGACGATCTTAGACGTTTACCATTGTGATAAAACCTTCTAGCACTGTCATTGTGCCAGCTACCGTACAATCAGCTGAAATCACACACACTGCTGAAACTTTACTAGGTGCAAACAAATTGATGATTGAGATTTTAGACGTTCACATGGCATGTTTCAGTCAGCAACTGCCATCAAGCTGTCAAACGGAAATGTGCCGTGTCCGCCATTGGGGATCCTTTTATTGCAGTGTAAACTAATTATTAAATATTATAATATGGTAAGGGAAGTTACAATGACCGGTAGCATCTGTCACATCACGGGTATTCTATTATACTCAAAAAGTGTTGCTGAGTTGCACATGCAAATCACCTTCGTATTTAATGGAATACGAATATTCGAAGCACAGATGTTATTATAATTATAATAACATGTAAGCTTCAAATATATAGCAGACACAAACCACGACTGATATGATCAACAAACAAACCCATCTGAATCATTTAATCACAGCATTTATTTACCAAAATGTCAGTTAAAGTCTACTTGAATCCACCAATGCTAATATTTGCACACCATCTATACGAAGGAGACGCGAGCAAACTCGTGTGACAGTCAATCAGCCTGCTGGGACACAGTTTACATATTCCAGGGAACAGTGTAACAAAACATATTTTGGGGGAAATTGTGATAAATCACTTGCCGTGGGGCCAGTGGGAGAACACAACTGGTTGAGCTCAGTGTATTAATATACATGCTAGAGAACAGTGTTATTCAAAAGGTCACGAGATTTCGGAACAAATAAGATAAAAAACTGAATTAATTCAATATAATTTCAAATATTTTATACTGGCTTAATTTCGCCGCGATCAACTGTTTTTGCATGAAATCAGAAGCGGCCAGGTGCACCACGCTCACACGCAATGACCAAGAAATCCCGACAAATCTGGTGTTAATATGTCTATATCAGATCAATGTATAACTGGTGTATAATGCCATGCGATTTTGAAGCGTGTGCTGTGCTTGTTTGGTTCAATGAGGTCGTAATGTTGAAGAAGTGTGAAAAGCTCCTGCTTGACCTCTTAAGTATGACCTTTACGAGGTCACGGTTGTCCAATCGAAACGAATGACGAAGTCAACCATGTACCACGCGTGCATCTGTGACCTACGGCTTAATTAAGTATCTCACCATCTGTTCTTCTCCCCGTAGGTAATAAAATACCACACTTGCTGGTAAACAAGGTCATAATGCAACTGTTAGCGACCATTGTAATGCTTCAACTGCCGGGGTACAAGGTAACGATATACCTGAACAGTGTTGTGATATACCTGCTGGGTAACAAGGTAACGATATACCTGAACAGTGTTGTGATATACCTGCTGGGTAACAAGGTAACGATATACCTGAACAGTGTTGTGATATACCTTCTGGGTAACAAGGTTACACTATACCCGAACAGTGTAGTGATATACCTGCTGGATAACAAGGTTACGATATCCCGAAGAAGCGTTATGCTATACCTGTTGGGTAACAAGATAATAATATACCTGATCAGTGTTATGATAAACCTGCTGGGTAACAAGGTAACGATATATCTGAGCAGCGTTATGGTGTACCTGCTGGGTAACAATGTAACGATATACCTGAACAGCTTTATGCTATACCTCCATGTAACTAATACCTGAACAGTGTTGTGATATACCTGCTGGGTAAGAAAGTAACGATATTCCAGGACAGAGTTAAGCTATACCTTCATGGTAACAAGGTAACGATATACCTGAACAGTGTTATGATATACCTGCTTAGTAATAAGGTAACGATATACCTGAACACTGTTGTGATATACCTGCTGGGTAACAAGGTAACGATATACCTGAACAGTATTATGCTGTACCTGCTGGGTAACAAGGTAACGATATACCTGAACAGTGTTGTGATATACCTGCTGAGTAACAAGGTAACGATATACCTGAACAGTGTTATGCTGTACCTGCTGGGTAACAAGGTAACGATATACCCGAATACTGTTGTGATATACCTACAGGGTAACAAGGTAACGATATACCCGAATACTGTTGTGAGATACCTGCTTGGTAACAAGGTAACGTAACCTGAACAATGTTGGAAGATACCTGCTGGATAATAAGGTAACGATATACCTGAGCAGCGTTATGCTGTACCTGCTGGGTAACAAGGTAACGATATACCTGAACAGCTTTATGCTATACCTCCATGGTAACAAGGTAACGATATACCTGAACACCGTTGTGATATACCTGCTTGGTAACAAGGTAACGATATACCTGAACGGTGTTGTGATATACCTGCGCGGTAACAAGGTAACGATATACCTGAACAGTGTTATGCTATACCTGCTGGGTAACAAGGTAACGATATACCTGAACAGTGTTGTGATATACCTGCTTGGTAACAAGGTGACGATATACCTGACAGTGTTATGCTATACCTGCTGGGTAACAAGGTAACACTATACCCGAACAGTGTTGTGATATACCTGCTGGATAACAAGGATACGATATACCCGAGCAGCGTTATGCTATACCTGCTGGGTAACAAGATAAAAATATACCGGAACAGTGTTATGATAAACCTGCTTGGTAACAAGGTAACACTTTACCTGAACAGTGTTGTGAGATACCTGCTGTAAAACAAGGTAACGATATACCTGAGTAGCGTTATGCTGTACCTGCTGGGTAACAAGGTAACGATATACCTGGACAGTGTTATGCTATACCTGCTGGGTAACAAGGTCACGATATACCTGAACAGTGTTGTGATATACCTGCTTGGTATCAAGGTAACGATATACTTGACAGTGTTATGCTATACCTGCTGGGTAACAAGGTAACACTATATCCGAATAGTGTTGTGATTCCTGCTTGGTAACAAGATAACCGTATACCAGAACAGTGTTATGCTATACCTGCTGCGTAACAAGGTAACGATATACCCGAACAGTGTTATGCTATACCTGCTGCGTAACAAGATAATGATATACCTGAACAGTGTTGTGATATACCTGCTGGGTAACAAGGTAACGATTTACCTGAACAGCGTTATGCTATACCTCCATGGTGACAAGGTAACGATATACCTGAACACTGTTATGCTTATCTGCAGGGTAAAAAGGTAACGATATACCGGAACAGCGTTATGATAAACCTGCTGGGTAACAAGGTAACACTATACCCGAATAGTGTTGTGATACCTACTGGGTAACAAGGTAACAATATACCCGAACAGTGTTGTGATATACCTGCTGGATAGCAAGATAATAATATACCTGAACAGTGTTATGCTATACCTGCTGATAACAAGGTAACGATATACCTGAACAGTGTTATACTATACCTGCTGCTTAACAATGTTACGATATACCTAAACAGTGTTATGCTATACCTGCTGGGGTATAGTGTGATGCTGAAATAATTGTCAATCCATTGTTCTGCTATATGTATACGTTGTCATGAGTGGTCATCCAAGTGATATCTCCTGTGGAAGGCAGTTTTAGAGGATACACGATGGCTGTCAGTATTACATCAATAGCATAAATACCGGAAATATATACACGGTCAATCGTGCATAGTTGACTTAGACGCTAGAGTGTACAGTCAAACACATAGAAGACGAGTTTTATTTTCATGTTCACTGCTTAATCCAGTCAAACTGATACTTAGGAGATTAAACGGTAAATGTCATCTTTAGCCTTCAGTATGTTTCTCCAACAAATACGGTACCAGTTCACAGTACACAGGACTGTCGTCCATTCGTCGTATGTTTCTTTGTTTGTCTGTTTGTTTGTTTGTTGATCCCGTTAGTCGCCTCTTACGATAGGTCGTCGTATGTACTCAACAATATGTGGAATACTAAATTCAGTTTTGCAGCAGTAGTTCACGGGTGTCCGTAGTGCCAGAACCTCATATGAGACAATCTAGCTTGACGGGAACATTCCGCATCGGAACCAGGCGTCTGGAAAACATGAAAGATTATTAGATGCTAATTACGTATGCAACAATCTATAATTTTCATGAGTGAGTGAGTGAGTATGGCTTAACGCCGCTTTTAGCAATATTCCAGCAATATCACGGCGGGGGACACTAGAAATGGGCTTCACATATTGTACCCATGTTGGGAATTGAACCAGGGTCTTAGGCGTGACGAGCGAACGCTTTAACCACAAGGCTACCCTACCGCACCTAATTATCATGCGTTTGGCGTAATATACTAAAATAGTATATCTTAAATATTTGTGGTCTCTATTATTCGCCAGAATTCTGAGTACATAACACTGTGCTTGCTTAGAGGTTGGACGATTTAACACTAGGACATCCGCCCGCATGGCTTGGCCAATATACCAGAGGCCGTTTGACTTGTTGAGTGCAAGCGAACAGAAGTAAGTGAATATTTTTTACTCCGCAGTCAGTCATGAGTAGCAGGCATCAAGGCGGAACCAGTTGATCGGCAACTGAAAGCGCGGGCATCAGGGTACGACGACACACAAACAGCAAGCGTGACCACGCGGTCACCATTTATAGACAATCATGGGAGGCTGTTTTAATTCATATTGAAAACAGATTGGGTGAGCGGCGGTGGGTGGGATATTTTAACTCTTTGTTCAACGATTCACGTTTAGCAACAATACATTTAGTCTAATACTAGTATACAGTGAAAGTTCATACTGATTACTCGGAACGGAGATCGCACAACGGACTCTGCTTTTAGCAGATTTTGCCGCTCACATTTACATACAAAGAACATTTATCCCAAATAAATATTTGTTAATCCGGACATATGAAGAATAGGTCCCCAGTACCCCATGATTGTAAGGAGAGTATACTGTTGGGATTCCAGGGAAGAATTGGTCCCTAGTACCCCATGATTGTAAGGGGAGTATACTGTTGGGATTCCAGGGAAGAATAGGTCCCCAGTACCCTACGATTGTAAGGGCAGTATACTAATGGGATTCCAAGAAAGAGCAGGTCCCCAGTACCCCATGATTGTAAGGGGAGTATACTGTTGGGATTCCAGGGAAGAACAGGTCCAGATATCACTTGACTGTCGCCCTAACAGACAAACGAGGATTGGCTGGTAAGATTCGGTGATTGATTACGTGTCATCGTGCCCGATGTTCATGTTTCTATTAACTATACTGCCTGCTCCCCACACGACGATGTACAGACCGCCGGAATACAGCTTACAGCAGCATTCACTCACTTGTCCCTTTACATAATTGACACAGTTTATATCACCTTATTAGGCTACATGTCTGCAGTCGATACAGATGAGGATAACAAGTGAACGTATTTGTATTTGTACAATAATTTCCAACAGATATAGATGTTTATGATATAAGTGTTTCCAATGCTCATCCCCACATATTTCAACAAGAATTGTTTTTTATGGTATCACAAAACATACCTTACACGTACAGCTCCAAGCATATCGCGGGTTTGCTTCACTGAATATTATTCTAGTTGTATTGAAGGGGACGGGCTCGGTTGTATCCACCTTCCCATTCACCGGCCAATCCAAGGGAGGTAGTCGGCAATTTAGCCCTGGTGATAAACAATCAATGTGACATACTAGAATTAAGAGCATAAATGGAAAAATAAAAAGCAATTTTGTAAAAAACAATTCAACGGGAAAACGGGTTTTATTAATATTACTGTGTAACGTAATCTTCGGCAGGGATTTTGAGATCGCTTTTGAAGACAAATGTTACCATGAACACGAAAAAGTAAATACACCACTCATCTATATCTGCACTTCCAGGTAAACGTGAATGAAACCATACCTATGTTTCAGCTTGAGAGTGTATTCCGACTGTTTAGTTAGTGAGTGAATGAGTTGGGTTTAACGCCGCTTTGAACAGTATTCCAGTTATATCACGGCGCGTGAGTTTAATGTGGGAGGAAAGCCCGAAGTGATGCAGGTCTCAGACGTTTACCACTTCGGTGAAACCCACGTGCACGGGTATGGTGCTAACAAACCTAGAAACATAATCGGGGCGAACAGTGATCGAACCCACAATCACAGGTATCTGGCCTGTCTAAGGGACGCAACTCTGCACAGCGAATTAGACGCCTGGGCCGCCCGTGCACCCTCTTTTTAGAAGGGTAAATAAATGGATTATACATATTTTAGAACATATTTACCACCTTCGGTATTTCTACGAAAACATCATTAAAAGTGGGTCTATTGGACCTTATGGGGCATAACTTATAAAAGTAAGACACGGCACATTTAATCATTCTTTTCGCGTTCATGCTTTCAAACTCAACGCCACGGTAACAATAAACTGCCATTTAAATAACACCTTCTTTATATAACCTGATATACATATACTCCAACCAAAAATCACCATCTATAGTATGGTTTTGAGAACCACTCAATTAAGCACATACAGTAAACTACGGTTATTACGAACACGCTTATAACGAACTGACGGATATAACGAATTTATTTTTTGGTCCAGGCCATTTGCTGCATTTATGCTTGTAGGGAACTACGGTTATAACGAACTAAAATTAGCCGCCCCTTTAAGTTCGTATTAACCGTAGTTTACTGTAGTTGTTAAGGGTCGTACCAGTTGGACACAGATGGCAGCAACGCCCGGCCATAAAAGCCGGATTCACGCAACCAACCGCGAAACACTCCATCTTCTCACACTTCGTGACTCCAGGGTCTGCCTTGCACGTGCACAACATGCATGGGTCATCCTCGTTGAGCGGGAACTTGTCACCAATGTTGTACGTTCGGCCGTTAAGTCGACAAACAAGCTTCTCACAACAACAGGAATCGGGTGACCACTGGAAAAGATGCGTACGTAAAATATGTTTTCCCGAACGGTTAAACAAGACGTTTCACTTGAAGTTGAGTTGTCTCAGTGAGATGGATTACACAGGTTGGGACCACAGGCCTTTGTGTCCGTGCCTAAATATTTCTAGATCAATTAATAACACGAGTGTCAGTGTATTTCTGACACTCGTGATATTAATTGATCAAGAAATATTTAAGCAACGACACAAGGGCCTGTGGTTGGGACAGGCAAGGTTATATAATTATGCAAGGAACTTCAGCCGCGCATCGATTCAAGAGCGTCAGTCGAACTTTCTACTTTCTTATGTCAATCAATCCCCTTTACGGCAACAATCAATATGAGAGTTTAATGGTAGCTTTTTGTCCGTGACATTAGAGTTAAGTTAATATCGTTTTTATCTATATTACGTGTCTTCAAAATCTGCGGCATTTTATTGAGTATTTGATACCAGGCATTGTAAATAATATTTTAATTATGAAATAGTTATCGATGTACTTTTTTAGTGGCATTCTCTTTCTACGTATAGACACGAACGCGTTAGGCCACCCTGGAATGATTGAACTTCATAAGAGCACGGTTCCCATGATCTCTGAATCGCCTGATTTGCAGAAGATTTGTGGGTTTTGATAACACACACTACAATTTAGCTTTTGTCCCAAGTGAAATTTCCAGGCATCGAGTACTGAACAAACCTGAAAACGCATAATGTTTCGACATCGTCAACACAGAAAGTTCTAGGTAATATTCGGAAGCACTAGGAGTTCTCAAACAACGGTGAGACACATGCATGACGTCACGATGCAATTGCTGTCGTCCTATGCTTCCATAATATCTGAACCCTCCACGTTAAGCTTGTTCCTGGCTCTCTATGTGCGTCGTCAACTAGTGATTTGAAAAGGGTCCCAGCTTCGCAAGGTGTCTTCATTCACAGTGCAAAATGTACGGGATTAAATATTTTTCAACCAATCCGATTGCAGTACACGTCTTGATGGACTGCAAACAATCGAATTTGGGCGAAGAGGTGAGGTGAGGTGAAATGGGGTTTAACGTCGCGTCCAAGATTATTGCACTTATATAGCGACGTGCATGCACGTGTATGTGTGTGTGTGGCTGCTTGTACTAGTCCGGACTGATGCCGATTTATAGTGCTAGCTCACTGAGATACCATGCCGCAGTTTAACATGAATACCCCACTTAGACACAGTATACTGACTCCGAGCCGACCAGTCCTTGTTTTAGCCCCTTAATGCCGAGCGCCAGACAGGGTAACAACAAGTACCATCATTTAACGTCTTTTGGCATGACGCGGCCGGGGATCGAACCCCGGACCTTCCGCTCTCTGGGCGGACGCGCTACCACTAGACCACGGAGGCGGTCGAATTTGGGCGAAGAAAGCCAGGGGCTGATAGCAAGAGATTCCAGCCATGCCGTCGGGGCAAGATGACACACAATTACCCAGGCCACAAGTTGTAAGCATGACACCCCTGGCTTGTTATAGTCTCGTCATGCGGCAAGCATGGATGTCGTGAAGACCTACCATGCCCCCGGAATCCCTGCAGAGCGAATAACATATGTATGAACTATTAACATAACACCCCTATCATAGGACCATGATGTTCGCATTCCAGGACATGAAAAATGAAAACATGAGCCTCGATGTTTTCAAGCCAAGAAAATGTGTGTTACATACATAATTGCGTAGGTATATTCTACATCTTCTTCATGTTTAAAGACCCGTGAAGATCCGGGTTAGAATAGGTCTTCTGCAACCCAGAGGCGACTGACGGGATGGGGTGGTCAGGCTCGCTGACTTGGTTCATGCATGTTATCTTATCCCAATTGCGTGGATCGATGCTTATGACATCAATCACTGGATTGTCTGGTCCATACTCGATTATTTACAGACAACCGTCATATAGCTGGAATATATCCGAGTGCGGCGTTAAAAAAACAAAAAAACAAAAAAATTAAAATGTGTCTTTTCATGGCAGTTCATCTACACTGATGACGAACTGAAACGACGTTGTTGTATAGGTTGATTTATAAGTAACTGTAGTGAATCCGTCTGCCAATCCCCCTGTTCATTTAGGCCCTTGTCTTGAGTAACGAGTGAAAATAAACTGACAAACATGGTTTGTTTGACTTAGTATGAGTGGCGTTAAGTGCCACTTTTAGTAACTATTCCAGCAATATTTACACATTAACCCCATGTGGGGAATCGATCAGCATGATTGGCAAAGGCTTTAACCACTCGGCTACCGCGGGTCCCTGTTTCATTCAGAGAACTGCTGACTGTAGATGTGATTGTGTAATATTTCCGATAGTATTGCTCTTATTTGAAATACATCATTTTAATATAGTTTCTGCCATGACAGACGGATCCTCATGTAGGCAGGAATATACCTCTTATAAGTTATTAGTAGAGAAGCACACCATGCTTTCCCTGTTGAGTTTCGCTACCTTTAAACTTGGCGACTACAAACTGAAATTAGAACTGAACGGCCAACAGGTTTAATTGGTAGAATTCATATTTATAATTTCTCGTGTCAACGTTTCCAGTTGTCTTGCACGTTCACGAATTGTACGTAAAACCGGACGGTGGTAAGATTTCATTGATAATGTACACATCATCACTCGCGACGAGGTCAGTATGCGAAAACGAGGAACGTACTGCAGTCTGACAAGACCTCAGCCAGAGGCCTTCGGTCCGTTCAGACAACCCCAGGGGGTCCAGTCTTCGGGTCATTGTTTTCGCATATTGACCTCGTCAAGATTAATCATTCTTTTTCCTTTACCGAAATTCACTTTAAAGTTTTTGAAACCTTTAAACCGTCCTCTGTTTTATTACAGTAACCAAGATGCGAACCGTAAAATGTTTCTACCAGACGCCATCTTGCTTTCTAGCAGACGAGTCAGTATTGATCACGTGACAGGTCAATACCCTCAGACCCGACCCCTTCGGCGGTACGACCACCTCAGGGATCCTGTCCTCGGGTCTTCTGGTCCTTGTTTTCGCATATTGACCTCGTCAAAAGTAATTATTTGTATGGCATTGTTTCAAGTGGTACGGCTTAACCACTGGAATTGCAAGATTTTTATAGAGGTATAATAATGCTGGATATTGTTGTTGTTTTTTTATGGCCAGTTTGCCACATAAAAAATGCTGACCTGGCAGTCTGTCCATTTAAGGTGTTCCAATGAGAGTACAGTTTGACGTACAAATACGTATTGGTTGACATGGTACGGTCTTTCTGAGAAGAAGCAGTTATTTCAACGAAAATATAAGTGTAGTGCCAAATGATGTATAAAGTTATTGGGAACATCAGACAAAACTTTGTTGACCAAGCAGGCATTGTATCGATATCGAGAGCTCACTAAAGGTAGTTCCTGCTAAGTGGCGGCATTGCATATTAATCGGATTGCGATACTAAGTTCATCGGATACATGTAGGTTTTTCGCATCGACAACACTGTCAATTATATGATAATGCACACGGCTAATCAGCATTGCTTTATCACCGAACGTAATTTTTTCAGATTATGCAGACCGTTTGGTCTCTTCATAATCCTATCAATTTAAAAAAACAAAAAAACATCGGTATTTTTTACCTCAAACGAAATCTCTCATGGTGAAGCCGTCCATCCGGACCGCTTTAGTCCGGACAAATTCCAAACAGCTACATGTTTACACACAGTTTACTCTTTAACTCGTTAATCCGGACATTAGTTAATCCGGACATTAGTTAATCCGAGAGTATCAGTTGGGACGCTGCTGGATTAATTGACTTTGAAAGCATGTGCACATTTCTGGCTCAGACGGGTTACCGCTCATTGCCGACGGATTCGCGCGGAGAAATAACCAGAGATAATTATTTTTTTTAAATATCTAATGTATTTCATCACCTTTATACACCTGTCTTCTTGGTAAGGGTGGTAGGCAAGCGGACACTTTGGCTGCACACACTCCGTCTGTCCATCACTCTTGCACCGACATCGCCGACAGCGCTCCGTCCATGTCGACCCGGAAGTCACCTCAACATTCGGCCATCTTTTGCACGTGACTGCAGTTTCGTTGGACACAGTGGAAAGCACCACGTGCACAAGTGACATCAGTAAAATCCCACTCCTCGGAACACATGTCTTTGAGAAAGAATCTAACCAAATTCTCATGATGAAGAAAATGATATTTTTAAATCAGTTGTATGTAATAGCCCCTGCTGGTACCATGTAGTATTTTAGGTCATGCATCTGAATAATCAGGATGCATTTTATTTCATCACAAGTCACAGCTTAACTAATTAAATACCACCCAAACAAACACACCAAAGGGAGCTTGAAATCCAATACTCCATGAATTTTCTTTCTTCTTAAATCGAGTCGCGTTGCACATGATATCCGGAAATTTCGATTACCTCGTGAAATGTAGCAGTCTCAATTCGCATAAATTCATAAACGCATCTGAAATCCAGTTTCGATTCAAATAAAAGTACCGAGTTTAATGACGTCACCCGCGGCAACCACGTGACTTGCCCTGCAGTCGGTGTAAGGCCGCGTCTTGTAGTTACGGTAGTGGTGGGAAGCGGTGTTGATAGCTGTCACGGGATGATTGATGTGAATCAGCTTTATGTCGCCGACCTACACATGCTGTTCGTTCACTGTCTGTCACTGACGTAAAATAAATTCACACCTCTCACCCATGTTGATTTCTTAAATATTTTATGTAGGCCTTCACTATTTTTGCAATGAGCCACTGACAAGCCAAAAATAATATCAGTATATACGATTGCAATAAGCAGTTGATTTTTGTGTGGTTTGATTTTAATGCATTTGTGCAAGCAGTGTGAATCTATCTCGCTCGGTATACGCCATGCTAGTACCAGTATATACCTTGTCGACATTTCGTCGTGTATCAGCTCTGAACACGTCACGTGATGTAGGCGAGCTGTGCAGCCAATAACATTCAGACATTTCTTCCGTCTATACACATTTGTGATTTTTTCTGATTCAATTATTTCAGGTACTTTAAGTACAGCCATATAATGCACAAGGTACAGCCGTATCATGTACACGGGGTACATCCATATCAGGTACAGTAAGTACAGCCATATCAGGTACAGTAAGTACAGCCATATCAGGAACACTAAGTACAGCCATATCAGGTACACTAAGTACAGCCATATCAGGTACAGTATGTACAGCCATATCAGGTACTCTAAGTACAGCCATATCAGGTACACTAACGACAGCCATATCAGGTACAGTAAGTACAGCCATATCAAGTACACTAAGTACAGCCATATCAGGCACACTAAGTACAGCCATATAATGCACAAGGTACAGCCGTATCACGTACACGGGGTACGCTAAGTACAGCCATATCACGTCCACTACATACAGCCATATCAGGTACACTTAGTACAGCCATATCAAGTCCACTACATACAGCCATATCAGGTACGCTAAGTACAGCCATATCACGTCCACTACATACAGCCATATCAGGTACGCTAAGTACAGCCATATCAGGTACAGTAAGTACAGCCATATCAGGTACACTAAGTACAGCCATATCACGTCCACTACATACAGCCATATCAGGTACGCTAAGTACAGCCATATCAGGTACAGTAAGTACAGCCATATCAGGTACACTAAGTACAGCCATATCAGGCACACTAAGTACAGCCATATAATGCACAAGGTACAGCCGTATCACGTACACGGGGTACATCCATATCAGGTACAGTAAGTACAGCCATATCAGGTACTCTAAGTACAGCCATATCAGGTACTCTAAGGACAGCCATATCAGGTACAGTATGTACAGCCATATCAGGTACTCTAAGTACAGCCATATCAGGTACACTAACGACAGCCATATCAGGTACAGTAAGTACAGCCATATCAAGTACACTAAGTACAGCCATATCAGGCACACTAAGTACAGCCATATAATGCACAAGGTACAGCCGTATCACGTACACGGGGTACGCTAAGTACAGCCATATCACGTCCACTACATACAGCCATATCAGGTACACTTAGTACAGCCATATCAAGTCCACTACATACAGCAATATCAGGTACGCTAAGTACAGCCATATCACGTCCACTACATACAGCCATATCAGGTACGCTAAGTACAGCCATATCAGGTACAGTAAGTACAGCCATATCAGGTACACTAAGTACAGCCATATCACGTCCACTACATACAGCCATATCAGGTACGCTAAGTACAGCCATATCAGGTACAGTAAGTACAGCCATATCAGGTACACTAAGTACAGCCATATCAGGCACACTAAGTACAGCCATATAATGCACAAGGTACAGCCGTATCACGTACACGGGGTACATCCATATCAGGTACAGTAAGTACAGCCATATCAGGTACTCTAAGTACAGCCATATCAGGTACTCTAAGGACAGCCATATCAGATACAGTAAGTACAGCCATATCAGGTACAACCATATCAGGTACTCTAAGTACAGCCATATCAGGTACACGAGGTACAGCCATATCAGGTACTCTAAGTACAGCCATATCAGGTACAGTAAGTACAGCCATATCAGGTACGCTAAGTACAGCCATATCAGGTACACGAGGTACAGCCATATCAGGTACTCTAGGTACAACCATATCACGTCCACTACATACAGCCATATCAGGTACGCTAAGTACAGCCATATCACGTCCACTACATACAGCCATATCAGGTACACTAAGTACAGCCATATCACGTCCACTACATACAGCCATATCAGGTACGCTAAGTACAGCCATATCACGTCCACTACATACAGCCATATCAGGTACACTAAGTACAGCCATATCACGTTCACTACATACAGCCATATCAGGTACGCTAAGTACAACCATATCACGTCCACTACATACAGCCATATCAGGTACACTAAGTACAGCCATATCACGTTCACTACATGCAGCCATATCAGGTACACTAAGTACAGCCATATCACGTTCACTACATACAGCCATATCAGGTACGCTAAGTACAGCCATATCACGTCCACTACATACAGCCATATCAGGTACACTAAGTACAGCCATATCACGTTCACTACATACAGCCATATCAGGTACACCAAGTACAGCCATATCACGTTCACTACATAAAGCCATATCAGGTACACTAAGTACAGCCATATCACGTTCACTACATACAGCCATATCAGGTACGCTAAGTACAGCCATATCACGTCCACTTCATACAGCCATATCAGGTACACTAAGTACAGCCATATCACGTTCACTACATACAGCCATATCAGGTACGCTAAGTACAGCCATATCAGGTACACGAGGTACAGCCATATCAGGTACACTAAGTACAGCCATATCACGTCCACTACATACAGCCATATCAAGTCCACTACATACAGCCATATCAGGTACACTAAGTACAGCCATATCAGGTACGCTAAGTACAGCCATATCAGGTACACGAGGTACAGCCATATCAGGTATACTGGGTACATGGATATCAGTCATGGGATATGAGGTATGATATATAGTTCAGTAGGCATGGTGTTTTTCACAAGTCTGTGAAACGTGTACAGTCTGTTATTATTCGTTCCGTTAACCACACCTCCTTTGTCTCACATTAACATTTAAATCCCATTTAACATTTTTCTATAACTTTCAAGGAATGCGTTTAACGCGCTGTGTCATTGAGTACAATAAGTCAGCTGCCTGCAGCACAACTCCGGAAATCCGCTGTCGTATCATTAGATGGAGAGACGGATAGTGATAAACTTTTATATTTTTTCAAAACTGAACTGGTATGACTCTAATCCTAATGCATTATCTAATGTATCAAACCTTTCAATGTGTTTCAGATTTCAGACTCCTTCAGAATTATTTTTTAAATGCGTCATTGACTGTTGTTTTCATCATTTCAGATCCACATTCAAATGAGGACTCGGTTTCAGAGTTCTTCCGAAGTACAAAATGTGGGTCGTAAGTAGTCGACTAAATGCTTCTGATCCTAACTGGTGAATATGTTTCATGAAGATATTCCGCTTTGGACACGAACATGTGACGTAAATGACCAATGGTCCGATCTTGTGGCGGCTGTCAGAAAGTTTGTCGTGAAAAAAATTGACGAGCACTCCCATTCATTTTGACATTCTTGAAATGTGGGATAATGTATATTTGATTTTAATTTATAAAACCCCAAAATGCGCCTCGTAAATGTATTGCTTGGCAGGTGTGATATATTCCCTTCACTTGGTAAATGTTTGATGCGCACATAAAATCTCTAAATGCGACCTGGCACTTCCAGCTCCCAAGAGATAACAATTTGCAAACCGTTCAATGTTTGAACATCATTGGCAGTTATGGCGGTATTTTAAGGCTTGGTTATCAAATCGTGTTCCATTCAATTGACGCAGGTCGTAGGCCGGCGGCGGATCCTTGCACTGAGATTTTGGGTAACGGCGCCGTAGACCGCAGAGTACATGTAGGTATGATCTAAGAGACACTAACATGGGCCATGGGACGTTCTCGTCTTCCTGACATGCCTAGGACGTTCTCATCTTACCCGAGGCTGTTTTTATCTTACAGATGCGTACCGGGTATCTACACATCGTAGAGATACATACTGAAACGTACTGAGGAGGATGTACTCGCCTTACAGATCCGTACCGAGTGAAGTACTTCCCTTACAGATTCGTACTGAGGGATGAACTCTCGCTCTTAACAGACAATGATGAGGGATGTACTCGCCTTACAGATCCGTACTGAGGGATGAACTCTCGCTCTTAACAGACAATGATGAGGAATGTACTCGCCTTACAGATCCGTACCGAGGGATGTACTCTCGCTCTTAACAGACAATGATGAGGGATGTACTCGCCTTACAGATCCGTACCGAGGGATGTACTCGCCTAACAGATCTGTACAGAGGGATGTACTCTCGTTAAAGTCAGCGCTGAGGGATGAACTCTCCTTACATATCCGTACTGAAAGATGTACTTTCTTTACATATCCGTACAGAGGGATGTACTCCTTTTACAGATCCGTACTGAAAGATGTACTTTCTTTACATATCCGTACAGAGGGATGTATTTCTTTTACAGATCCGCACTGAAAGATGTACTTTCCTTACATATCAGTACAGACGGATGTATTTCTATTACGGATCCGTACTGAAAGATGTACTTTCCTTACATATCCGTACCGAGGGATGTACTCCTTTTACAGATCCGTACTGAAAGATGTTAAACAGTACTTTCCTTACATATCCGTACAGAGGGATGTACTCCTTTTACAGATCCGTACTGAAAGATGTTTTCTCCTTACAGATCCGTACTGAAAGATGTACTTTCCTTACATATCCGTACAGAGGGATGTACTCCTTTTACAGATCCGTACTGAAAGATGTACTCTCCTTACAAATCCGTACTGAAAGATGTACTTTCTTTACATATCCGTACAGAGGG